GATCTCCGTACTTTGACACTCCCGCTAGTCATCCCTCGATCACCCCTTCCTCGAACACTAAACCTATCTATGGATACTCTGATGCAAATTGGTGTGGAGCCAAGGATATCTCTATGAAATCAACCTCTGGTCAGGTCTTCTATGTTTATGGCAACCCTGTCAGCTGGTCAAGTAAAGTTCAAAAATCAGTCAGTCTATCAACAACTGATGCAGAATACATGGCAGCATCAGAAGCAAGCAGAGAATTACTTTATCTCTTTAATTTTCTCTCTGAAATAAAATTACTTACTTCTGATTCAGCTATTCCAGAACTTTACACAGACAGTCAAAGCTGTGCAGCAGTGGCCAAGGACCCAGAGATGCATGCCAAACTCAAGCATATAGGCTTAAGATATCATTTCATTAGAGAATCTGTGAAGGAAAACAAAATCAAAATTACCTTGCTCAAGACCCAAGAAAATGCAGCTGATGTCTTTACCAAAATTCTACCTAAAGCTGCATTTTCAAAGGCAAGGAATATGTTGAATATGTTTGATGGGAAAGTGGGGAAATAATTGAGTTCAAGTGAGGGGGGGAAGTTGAAATATACTTGAACTCAATTAGGCCAATTTAGTTCCAAAGGTTATCTTAGTTCAAAGCTTCTTCTGAGTTAGACTAAATTAGGCTGGTACTAATTTAGTCTGGTACTTTTTTTGTCTCGAACTTTCTTATCTCATCCTTCCCTTTTAGCCCCAATTTTCCTTATGCTCTCTCTACCCTTTACTCATGTACCACATCACACATCACTCTTGTATCTTTTGGTTAAGATTGATATATTTTACTGAAGCGCCCACACAATACCTAAAAGGTGTATAAGATGTAGTTTCGATACATATTATTTCCACTTCCCCAAGCAAGCAATTCATACAGCTCTGTTCTCAATTTTCAACTACTTCATTTCATCAAAGTTGTCCGACCTGAGAACTTCAGCAGAGGGTTCTTCCTTGGTCAACGGATGAGGCTTGAACTTGCATGAACCTGCAGCTAGGCACTTTGGCCAGAGGAGTCCGGGTTCTTCCTTTGAGCCCAACTGTAAACCTAGGGATAGGGCTATGCAGCACTATGTACAGCTTGCAGACTGACCTGGGATCGAGATAGGTTCATGCGGTGGAAGATCTCAGGGACAGGTTTGATCAAGTCAAGCTGACCTGTACTCACACCAGGTTCAATCAGGTGGCAAAAGACTTCTATTGAGAAAACTTTGAGAGTGTTTGGGGAAGGGCAAATTGTGTATGGCAGGAAAAAGGTCCTTTTGGTGGTGGTAATCTCACCCGATCAAGCCGTGACAAAACTCTACCTTTTCCCTCCCGCTCTCGTTTCCTATTTACGCGACGCGTGTTCAGGTCGCAATTTACGCCACGGTTGACGCGTATGATCGAACGATCCAGGAGGGTTAGACGTTAAACGATGGAGGAAAAGAGGGATGCGTAGCTCATCGACCTCCCGCTCCTACCGCCCCAACTGCATCGCTCCTTTGCTTGAATTGCTGCGATCGTGAATTGACTCGAGACCGTCAGGTCAGTACTAATCATATCGATTAAAGCGCACGCACAACATTAAAACCAAAGGGTCGTCGCAAGGTTGGATCCTTCTCTTCACTTTATGCGTTGCCTTTTCTCTCTTTTTCTCTTTCTTTTTTTTCACACATTCGATTTTCCCCATCTGCAAACGAGTTGCTCACGCATCGCCTCACCCCATCATCATCCATCCATATCATCCTCTCACACACACACTGATACATCAACCTTTCACTTTCTTCATTCACCGCCGTATTCTCTCCAACTGGTCCGTATACCCAACTACCTGCGTAGTCTCTATCTCGAACCTCTTGGTCAATCTAGTCATCGCTTCTCGACATTCATCGAATTCCCTGCATTCATCCATCTACCGCCCATCTACCCATCTGTCTCGTCAGTCATCTATCCATCCATCCATCCATCCATACATACATACATACATCCATCTCGTCATTGATCTATCCATCCATCCATCCATCCGATCTCCCATAACCAGCATCCGCGTGCTTCCATCAACCCTCTCGAAGAAATCCTCATCTCACATCTAGAGAGTTCGATCCTACCTTCTTCCATCCACCTCCCTACCTCTCCGTTCACGTCGGAAGCAATTCGTCTTCACAAAGACCTCCGCTGCAAGGTGCATATATTTCCCTTTACTCTTCCTTATTCCGGTCAAGATCCCCGGCACTATCTTTGCGCAAGTAGTTGAATCAAGCCCTTGTGCTCTGCAGACCCACCAAGCATCGCTTTGAGGTTTTGGGGAGCCCTTAGCGACGTTGGCTTTTCCGTTATCCCCGCAAGAGCCTCCCGTCTTTTCGTTGCCTTCAGGCAGAGCGACACTTTGTGCATTCTCCCCCTTCGTAAACTGGACGCTCAGGATCGGTCTCCTCAGGACAATCCATTCACCATGTCTCTTCGAGTGGACCAAGGATATCCCTCTCCCCCATCGAGCGGTCGATCTCCCGCAGACAAACAGGCTCCCAGAACAGTCGGCCCCGGTGATGTTCAAAGCAGCTATCAGCATCCACATCACCGTAATGCACAGCCCGAGGACAAGGTCCCTCACGGTCCCCCTTCAGAACTTGCTCCCGGCAGCCATACGAGCCCGGAGGGGCGCAGGAAGAGCAAGTCTGTCAGTGACGAGAGTGATAGAATGCTGACCCCTCCCCTCAGCCGTGACACCCGCATGGACAATGCCTCGGTGAAAGGGGAGAATCGTGCTGGCGCCACAGCAAGTTCGTCCAAGCCATCGAGAGTCACATGCCCCCCAGCTTCGTCGTCTCTGCTCGCCGAGGCCATCCTCAACGACCCTCAAGAGCGATTCCACTTTCAGCAGCAACAGGCATCTTCGTCATCCAGGCCAGCGTCCGCAGCAGCAAGTCGCCTCGCCAGCCCCTTCCGTGGCCGTGATTCCAGGCTCGCCCGAGGACCGGTAGCCTTGTCCGAGTCTGACGCGGAAGACAACCCCGTTTATTTCCAACCTTCGTCCAGGTCGGCTCAGCTTCACAGTAGCCGTAGCCTAAGCAGCGCTCAGTGCTCAAGGAACGCCTCCGCCTCCCCGAGTGAAGGTGACTATGAGGAAGAGGAGGCAGTGGATGAGATCACGCCTAGGCAATCGCCGAGGTTGCGCTTCAGCCACAGTTACCGATCGCCTTCGCCCAGTTATCCAAAGGCGAGGGTTAAGAACCAAGACCTTTCGCGGAATGTCCCGATACGAGACTCGCCAAACAACCCTTTCATCGAGGGCTCAATGGCAGACGTGGGCTTCAGTGGACCGAATGCGGAGGGAGCCAAGAGGAGAGCCAGGATGTTTCCTGGAAAGGAGAGAGGCAAGATCACGTACGTCTTCCGAGGTCAGAGGGTCACATACGCCGATCCAGAGTATGATTCGGACAACGAAGACGACCTCGACGACGGGAGCTGCTCTACCTCGAGATTCCAGCCAAAGCTCTTGTTCCCTACACGCGTGAACGCTCCGAAGTCACAGCGTGCCACGCTTCGTGGTGGGCTCTTCGCTGCAGAGCTGGCAAGGAGAGAAGACCTCGCCGCCTTAGCGCCAAGAAGCACGGGAAGGATGAACTTGTTGACAGGTGCCGAGGTTGACAGCGAGCGCGATCGCATCTCTGAGCTACACTCTCGGAGATCGACCTTGTCTCGGTCTCAAAGCCACGATGCGAGGTTTCCAGACACTAGTATGAGACGTCCGTCGGACCACACCTCTGCCAAGGAGATGGAGCGGAAGGCACTGCTTGCTCGACTCGAACAAGCCAATTGGAGTGACGAGGAGGAGGAGCGGCCTGCTGGCTTCGGGGAAAACTTCCTGGGCCGTTCCCGAGGCCACCATGACCATCGCTTGGAGGAAGAAGGACCTCTGCAGTCGCCTTCAGATGGAGCAGCAGAAGATTACGATGAGCAGTTCATGGAGGACGGAGAGGGGAGCGAGGATGCGATGACGATGGATGATTCGTTCGAGGAAGAACACAGATTGGAAGGCTGCAAAGATACGGACGCCAAGCGGTCGGATCAGCAGCGAGAGGATGGATCTCGCTCACTCTGGGACCAGATGAATGAAGAAAGATCCAATTTGAGGGCTAGGACCTTTAGCAGTCAGGACAGGAAAAGATTCAACCCCTACCAGAGGAGAGAATCGAGGCGATGAACTGCGGTGGGCAGCGAGGGGGGGGGGGGAGGGGAGGTCATTGCTATGTCAGTCTTTGAAAATGAGGCGGACGGATTTTTTAGGCACTCTCTCCTCCTTGGTGAAGTAAAGAGGACAGCTCTTGATTTTTTGTGAGAAAAACATCTCGCTCGCATCGGTCCACCCAATAACATGATCCCACTCATGCAGATCGGAGCCCCGAATTAGATTCTATCAATTTAATGGTTTTGTTAGCCCCCCCCCCCCCTTTTTTTTTCCTTCCCTCGACCTCTTGCTCGCGCTCTAGATCCCCCTATATGTGCCAACACCATCATCATAATGATCTCAGTAAACTTTGATGTTCAGACATTTGCCTTCAGGAATTTCTCGTCATCGCTGATAAAATGGATTGGGTTAAGCCGGAACATTAAAAGATGTTGCAAAGATTGCGAAAGGAGAAAAAAAATATTGAGAAAACAGCTCACGAAAAGTATTGATCCCTACCTGAATCGAACAGATAATCTTCCGGAAGCGCGAGGGCGCGAATGCGCGCTTAAGAGCTGGAATCGGACGCCTTACCATTTGGCCAAGGGATCACTGTGTATCTTTCGTTGGGGAAAGGCATATAAGATCATGTTAGAATAATTGAGTCTTCTTATGCCTTCTCATTCTAGACAACCATCCACTGTTTCCTCTACGCTTCTCTCCAATACAGTACCTCCTCCCCTCTTCAGTGGTGATTTCGTAGTTAGTATGAAGGCCATATCGAAGTGGATTATGAGGCCATGAACCAAAGGCGAGTCGATCAACTCGCCAAAATATGCAAACTTCCAGGAGAGGTGTTGGAAGGCGAAAACGCCGAGAGAGCGCGGATTGGGAAAGGGCGAGAGTCCCAGTCTGGATTCACAGTCCCAAGTGGGGGACTTGGATTCGGGAGTCGAGAAGGCTCACGTGTGCAATGCTTTTTCTCGAATTAAGCAGAATCAGCACGTCAGAGGGTTGCTCAACGCTGCCATACTGCTATTACTGGGTTAAAGAGAGGGAAACATGGTGAGAGGGAGGAACAAAGGAGAGGAGTTGTAGATGGGAGAAAGAAATATGGACTCCTCTCTTTCCTTTCCTTTCTTCTCCTTTGATTTGTTTTGGGGGGTTGTGGGTTGGAAGATCGACTTCTGATATCCTCGAAGAAGCCGTCATCTCCATCTTCCCTCCCACCAAGCTTCTCCTCCTATCCCGTGACCTTGCCTAGGTCATTCACGCTACCAAACCATCCACCCGCCAACTTTTCATCAGTCCCTAACCAAGCTTTCATTCCCACAAATCTGGAACTGGGTTTAAGCTACCGTACCTTGGGTCCGACACCTCGACATCCTGGAAGCATCACGGTTGAATTGCAGGGGATTTCGAATCGGATAGGTAAGTGAATCTCCTTCCGCATGACCTGGCCCCTCTTTCCGATCGATGGAGTTGTGTTCGTTCTCGTGGTCGTGGTTGTGGGTTAGGCTTAGATGGAAGAGGAGGGGGAAAATCCGAATGAGACGAGAGCAGGTGGCCAAGAGGATGGGTAGAGGCCCCCGAAATGGAGCGTCGCAGTCGTGAAGAATAGTCCAAGTCACACAGTTGAAAAAGGCTTGCCGGTTGGAGTAGGGTAGGGGTCAGGGTGGCTGCTTGCTTTACTTTCCGTCGTTGTCCATTCATGATTCTTTCTCTCCTTCTGTGATTTTTCTTTGTCTTATTTTTATTTTTTGAAAAAATTGGTCCGTCGATTGCCTATCCCGCTTTGGAAAGAGGGAGAGTTGGTTGTCATCGGCCTTTTTTTCTTCCACATTGGACCTCGCGTCTTGCTAGAACACATGCCACCCCCCACCCTCCCCCCCCCTCCTCCCCGACTGGTTCTGATCTTTTGCTTCCTCTCTTGCTCCATCCGCACCGGGCGATGGGTCAACAAAGTACGATCGGTATCTCGTTATCCAGCTACGCCATGACGTCTCTCGCCGATGAGGAGGGAGAGATAGAGAGAGCGATGAGATAAGGAAGATGGGTCAGGCGGTTAGAGAGGTGGCGGACGGATTGTTTAAAGGCCGATCGGATTCCCGTTCCAAGTCGAGAGTCAGTGATCGGCTGGGCTCGCGCTCCTCGTTGGAGGTGATTCATCCGGCTCTTTGGCCTAGGGCGAAGGCGGGTTTCCTTTTCCTTTCCCTTTTTCTATTCCTCATCCTCCCTTCTCCCTTTCCCTCTCCAACTTCAACTTACCTTGTGGAAGATTGCGAGTCGAGTCAACCACACACAATCACAGTCACAGCCAAGAGTCGAAGTCTTCTGACCGGGGGGAGAAAGTGGGAAGCCTCCTTTCAAGATGCCCTGCCCTCCTCCCATCACGATTCAGACCGCATACATAGACCCACGTGAATCGCGTTACGACTGGAATCACCATCAGAATCCGCAACTTGTCACTCGCTCAACCCCATCGATGCGGGAGGCAAATTCGATGCGGTGACTTCGACATGAGGAGGGGAGGGGGGGGGAAAGGTCAAAGGGAGCGAAATCCGGGGGGTAAAAGGCGGATGGCGGGTGGGAAGAAAACCAAAAACATCGCCCCGACTCGTTCGAAAGCGAATCGGAATGCCGTCCCAATCAAGTCTCTTCTTGGTCACTTGATCGAAAGGATGACTTGATTCAAAGGGTGAAAGGAAAGGGAAACCAACCCTAGGGCAACTCTGTCCGGGGTTGGACTGACTTGACTGACTGGGCTCTCTGACTCTGACTCGCATACCCGCCAAAATGTAATGAGTTTTCTTTTTCCAACCCCCTTCCCTTCACGTCGCCCCCTCCTCTCCCAACTGACTCGTTTTCACCCGCCGCCCTGATGTCGTCTCCCCTATGCTGGTTAATCAATCCGCTCCTTCTCCTCCCGCTAATCGTTAGCTTCTGACGCCGTGCTACCAAGTGCACTCAGTACACATCCCACATCCCGGTCCATTCCATCTCCCCCTTCCCCTCCCTCTCCCTTTCAATAACCAAAGGGGCAAGAGAGGCTCTTCTCCCCTAACCCCTTCTCTCTCCCCTCCCTAACCTCTTGCCCTTCGCCCATCCATCCCTCCTCTGCTTTTGCCTTACGACCTCGCTCGCTTGCTGCACTCCGCACTCTCTCGCATATTCTTCTTGCTTTGGTCTTCCACAATCACCTGCCGGCCCCTTCTGACTCGGTCATCGAAACTCGCCTACAGTTGACTCTCACAGGCCAGTCGCTCATTGCCGTTTGCTCTCTCTCTCTCCCTCCCTCTCTCTCTCTGTCTCTCTCCCTCTGCGCCACTCCCCCTTTCTTTCTAGACAGACCTCCCTTACCCGAAGAAGAAAACTGCCCCCCCCCCCCTCCCCCCACTCCCCTCCAAGCGCCAACCCTTATTAAACCCGAATCCTCCCCTTCCTCACTTTGCCCAAAATGGTTCCCGCGACTTTTTTCCGGTCCACCACCAACATCGTAGGAGCTTCTCCCACCGGCAGGCTACTGTTCTCCAAATCGATTTCCTCCAGCTTCCTCCCTTCCAATTCTCGAGCCTTGACCACCATGTCCTCGCCGACCATCTCGACATCATCCTACTATTCGACCTCGGTCGCATCCACCTCATCCATGGCCTCGCACCCTTCGTCGGCCACGTCGGCATACTCGACTTCGGCCACAAGAAGCCCGTCCTCGTACAAGCCCGTCCTCTCCAAGTCGAGCATCAACCCACACGTCATCAACGTCGAGTACGCCGTCAGGGGTGAGATCTCCAACAAGGCCAACAACTACGCAAAGCTCCTCTCGGAGGGCAAGAAGGAGAGTGCGGGGATCAAGTTTGATTCGGTCGTCACCGCCAACATCGGCAACCCGCAGCAGCAACCCTACCTTGCACAAAAACCTCTGACCTTTTGGAGGCAGGTCGCCGCTCTCACAGAGCTCCCATACCTGATGGAGCACGAGTCCACCAGGGCTGTCTTCCCCGAAGACACCATCCAGAGGGCCAAGGCGCTCCTCGCCGACGTAGGCTCGGTCGGTGCATACTCGCACTCGAAAGGCTCTGCTCTTGTTAGGAAGCATGTTGCCGAATTTATCCAAGGTGAGCATGTCAAGCCCCAATCGGGACGTACGGCTGTTGTCGATTCTGCATCCGCCTTCCGACATGCTCATCGATCGAATGTTACTTTTCCCGTTGCGCAAACCCGTACCAACTTGATCCTTTTCATTCACGGCTTGACAACTCAGAGAGAGACGGGTATCCGGTCGACCCAGAATTGATCTACCTCACGACTGGTGCTTCGGGAGGCGTCCAGCTTCTGATGCAGGTCATGGTCGCTGGACCGGACTCCGGCGTCATGATCCCTATTCCACAGTACCCCCTCTACTCTGCCGCCCTCTCGCTATACAATGCTCAGCCAGTGGAGTATCAGTTGAATCCATTTGATGACTGGTCCCTCGACGTCCAGGCCATGTCCAAGTCGATCGACGAAGCAAGGGGAAAGGGGGTCGATGTCAGGGCCTGCGTCGTCATCAACCCGGGCAATCCGACTGGGCAGTGCTTGTCCGAGGATAACATCAAGGACCTCATCAGGATGGCTCACGAGAAGCGGGTCGTCCTTTTGGCCGACGAGGTCTACCAGGCCAACATCTTCCAGCCCGAGACGAGGCCGTTCCACTCGTTCCGAAAGGTTCTCAAGGACTTTTCAAAATCCCAGAACGCCGAGGAGGCCAGCATGGCGGACGAGGTCGAGCTGATCTCCTTCCATTCCATCTCCAAGGGTGTTAGCGGAGAGTGCGGCAGGAGAGGAGGATACTTTGAGCTCTGCAACATTTCGCCTGAGGTCGAGGCCGAGATCTACAAGTTGGCCTCCATCTCGCTCTGTCCTTCGCTGCAGGGCCAGATCGGCGTCGACATGCTGGTCAAGCCCCCCAAGAAAGGCGAGCCATCGTACCCATTGTACAAGGCAGAGACAGAAGCGATCCACAAGACCCTCCTACAACGGTCGGAGAAGATGGCGGAGAGGTTGGACAAGTTGAAAGGGGTCTCGGTAGACCCAGCGCAAGGAGCGCTCTACCTCTTCCCAAGACTCGAGCTCGGCTCCAAGGCTGTCGCCGAAGCAGAAAAGAGAGGCAAGAAGGTCGACAACTTCTACTGCCTTGAGATGCTGGACGCTACGGGCATCTGCGTCGTCCCCGGCTCCGGGTTCGGTAAGATGCCCGACGAAGAAACGGGCGAGTGTTGGTTTAGGACCACGATCTTGGCCAAGGAGACGGACGAGTTCATTGAGAGATACGGCAAATTCCACGACGAGTTCATGAAAATGTACGGTGGTGATCTCTGAAAAACACGGCTGTGGACATAGAAAGACATCTCGGACACCCCCTGTCCCCCCCCC